GCAAGTGACAGAGCCTGCATTGGAACCCAGGGGCTGGCTCTACAGCCTGTTTTAACCACCGCTGGGTATCTCTCGGGATGAATGATGCTGCTGCTGATGATATGAAGATAGCTAACGTATCAGTCCTTTAAGATGAAAGGTGACCCGATTCTCACGGTACACAGAGCACAGAAGTCTCTCAAATAGGTTACGTTAACAACCCACATTTTACTGAGGGCTGTTCCATGCCAGGCCCTGTGCTCAGCACTTTATGTGGGTTATCTCATTTAATCCCCACGACACCCTCATGAGACTGAGACGTCTCCTAAGTTTCACAGAGAAGGAAACTCCTCCTAACCGGGTTACATAACACACCCACGTTTGTGCAAGGGGCGGAGCGTGGGTTCCAGCCGAGTTTCATTGATTTCTGAACCTTGTGAGTAGCATCTACCCTGTCTCCCCATTAACTGTGAAATCATCCACTGTTCCCTTTCTTTCCCAGCATCCCCTGACTACACCCCATCGCCTCTGTTTCCCTCTTCTCCTAAATCCTTGGCCTTTTTTTGTGTTTGTACAGCTGACCCAGCACCTTATTAGCTATCCTTGCATCCGCTAATTTTCTGCGGTCCACAGCCTCAGTGAAACTGCCACATACACTGTCACCGAATGCCATGGTCATGGGTCACTGCCTGCTTTCAGGATAAGCCTTGGCTCCCTGGCCCTACCCTTGGCTCCCGAAGGCAGAAACGAGGCGTAGCCAAACATCTGAGCCCTCTTCGTGCCTGGCATGGGACTGAGCTGTTTTGTCCATACAATAAATTCTTGCTGCTTGGAGGATTAATTGAAATGAGGGAGAGAAGGAGAGTGGAAGGTGAGGCAGGGAGCTTCTCCAGGTCACTTTCTGCAGCTGGGCACAGGGGTGGTGCTCAAAGTCCTTACAAGGAACCCCAGGCCCTTAACAGCCCAGCTTCTGCCCCTCTCTGCCTCTGTCCCATCACTCATAAATAGCATAAAGATACGCCATGCATTGTTTTTTGTTTTTTTTTAAATATATGTTTATTGATTTCAGAGAGAGGGAGAGAGAAACATCAGTGATAAGTCATTGACCGGCTGCTTTCTGCACGTCCCCTGCTAGGGATCAAGCCTGCAACCCAGGCATGTGCCCTGATGGGAATCGAACCTCGATCCCCTGGATCCTAGGTGGATGCTCAACTGCTGAACCACGCCAGCTGGGCTGCCATGCATTTTTCTTTAATGTCCCACCCCAGAGCCTTCGTGCTGGTTGCTCCCTTTGCTCCCACCATCTATCTCGTCTCCCTCCAAGGATCACCTTTTCCCAGAGGCTTGCCATGGCCACCTGCCCCGTTACACTTGATCCTGTTGTATTTCTCTGAGTCACAGTGAGTTGCTGAAATGAACATGTCAGTTCCCATCCTGGCTGAGGTGCCTCCCCAACTACAGTGTAAGGGCAGGGCCCTGTCTCGTCCACTCTGCAGCTGGCATTTATTAATGAGGTTCATCTGTGTGTCGGGTGCTCCGCCCTCCTAGCCCCCCAGATTTGTTGAAGTGAATGAATGAAGGTATTTGAACAGAACTAAATAAATGGAAGGAAGGAAGGGAGGGAGGAAGGGCCCACCGCAGCCGCCACGGTGTGCAGGGGAGGGTGCTGTGCAGCAGCCTCGAAGTGAAGGCATGTCCCCCGGGCTGTGAAATCTAAGCTGTGGGAGCTACCCCTGGGCGCCTGGCTCTTGTGCCCCAGCCGGGAGGAGAGGTTCGGCTGAACGTTTGGACAGTTCTTGGCACGGAGAGCCCTTTGGAAAATTGTGCGTCCCAGCTAGTGCGTGGAGAGAGCCGGGTCGGGGGCCAGCATCCCGCTGGACACCATAAAGAGGTGGCTGTGGGAAGTGTTAGGGTCGCTCGGGAAGCACCAGGAACATGAAAGGTATGCTGTGCGTTCTTCAGGCCCCAGAGAATCACCACCTGGTGTTAGACTTGGCAGAAGCCTTTCCGCCCCTTCTCCGAGCTGCTTCCTTAGAAGAGAAGCACCGTCTGAATACGGAACGCCTGCGGCCGTGGCAACGTGCTCCGCGACCCTCTCCCACAGCCCGCGGGGCGGTACCGAGGAGCTGGGGTGGCACAGGTGTGCCCGGCGTAGGGTGATCTGGCAGGACCTACCTGTATCCAAGGCGACACATCCGGGCCCTTTTTCCAGGAGGGCCTGTTGTGAAACATTCTGGAATGTTTGTGTTCCCTCGGTGATTTGTAATTAAGAAGAGGCAGAACGAGTTCTTGCTTGGTGCCCTCCCTCCCTCCCTCCCGCCCT